ACGTAAAAATGGTGAGACTAACCTTAAACTGGTGGGTTTTCAAATAGTCAGGTCTTGGAAACGTATGCTTCCAAGACCTGTGTGGATAAGCCTGACCGCATAGGAAGCCTGAAGGTAGTGTACACTAATATACGTAGTATCGGGAACAAATTTCACGAGCTAGGTGTATTAGTGGAAGACCTTAGCCCAGGTGTGTTCCTGCATAAACGGGAATAAATATATATACTAAGTATTGTGGCCATTACTGAAACATGGCTGAGCTATGCGGATTTAGTTGCTTGCGCAGCGACAGCGTTAAGAGTCGTAGAGGTGGCGGGGTTGCTGTGTACATCTAAAACAGCTTACTATCCCTTGTAAACGTTGTACTTACCTCAATATTGGTTGGTTATCGTATGCCTACAACTAAGGGTTGAAAACGAAATGAAGTCGATTTTCCTGCGCAACCTGGAGGACTGCTGTTTAATTCAATAATGATACGACATGGGTCAGACAAAGAGTGTATTTATACATATGTCAAATATTTAGCTGTTCAAACATTACTAACTTGTAGACATTATACAATGTATCATACTGATCGTGCCTGTAAAAATGGCATGCATTTTCATGTAAATTTATGTTTATATGAAAATATAAAATTATTATTATAACAACTCCCTACATGTTCGTTCCGTGAAATCTGAAGTGCATGACAGTGGGACAGGTGAGGTGATCAGCTGTAAAGTAAGCTTCGCAACTGGCTTTCTACTCATTGGAGTTCTGTATTGAAGTCCGTATTGTCAGTGTGATGACTTTATTTTAGATCACCTCAAACAATGGAGTAAACACAGTAGCTGTCTTATTCTAGGTGACTTTAATGCACCTCATATAGACTGGGTAGCTGTCACATCTCCAGGATCCGCTAATAGGTTTGACAGCCGGTTACTGTTGACTACCATGGAAAATGCCCTGACACAACATGTCTTAGGTAGTACAAGATTCGGTTTTACCCAAGGATCTCCCTTGCTGGACTTAGTGCTTACTCATGACAACGACGACGTGGATGGTCTAGTTATTCATCCACCTCTAGCAAACAGTGATCATGGGGTGTTAGATTTTAACTTAAGGGCTGGCAATTTAGTCAGTTTTCAACCCAAATCCCGACCTAGTGTTTGGCATGCTGACATAGTCGCTATAAGGAGCGTGCTTCAACTGCCGACTGGTCAGTCAATATTGTCCCATCCATTGAAGATGAATGGGATAGATTTAAGAATACACTTGAGGGGGTTGCCACTGATTTCATTCCCTCGAGGGTTCCTAAAAGACCAACAAATCGGCCACCATGGATAAATAGACAAGCTATAACACTCCTAAGACGGAGGAAAAGGTTCTGAAATCTCTTTGTTTCTACTGGGCTACAGCAGTTCCGGCTGAAATACTGTGAAACCAAAAACTGGTATAAAACTTTGATTCACCAGTCAAGGATAGCTTACGAAACCCAGTTAGTTAAAAGTTCACCAGGCTGCCCAAAAACTCTTCTCATATATCAAAAGAACACGTAAGAGTGATGCTATCCCACCTCTTATGCTTGAAGATGACCAGACAAACATGGCTGAGGATAACTTGACTAAGGCTGAGGCTTTGTCCAAGCACTTTAGTCAAGTATTCCCTGATAATATTGATACCAGCTTTGTAACTTTTCCAGAAGGTAACTTGAAAATGGCACCCTTATACATTGGAAAAAATACTGTCCTAAAGTACCTTCTAAGGCTCAATCCTGGTAAGTCCAGTGGCCCTGATGAACTCCACCCACGTATATTAACAGCATTGGCTGAAAACATAGCCGAGCCATTGTCGGTAATCTTCAGTATGTCTCTGGACCAGTCTAAATGTCCAAGAGACTGGAAAGATGCCATCGTTAGTCCGGTCTTCAAAACCGGATCTAGAAACTTAGTTCAGAACTATCGTCCTGTTAGTTTGACCAGTATTGTTTTTAAACTACTAGAAAGAATAATTCGTGATGCTATCATTCAATTCATTCAAGGGAACAAACTTTTCGCTGTGGAACAGCATGGTTTTAGAGCAGGTCATTCTTGCTTGACCAACCCTCTTTTGGCCAGAGAAAGTTGGGCAAGCTCAGCTGATGCTAATATACCGGTGGATGCCATATTCATCGACCTTAGCACGGCGTTTGACAGGGTTTCTCATTCAGGTCTTCTAAAGTAGCTAGGTAGTCTGGGGATCAATGAAGTGGTTGCCGACTGGATTCAAGACTTTCTAAAGGACAGAAGACAAAGAGTACGAGTTAACGGGGTTTTATCAACATGGGAATTGGTTAAGAGTGGAGTTCCTCAGGGTACAATTCTAGGCTCACTTCTTTTCTTGATTTATGCTAATGAGATTCCATCGGTAGTTAAGTCATCCTGCTTACTGTTTGCTGATGACATCAAGATATGGAGGGCTTTACACGATGACAGTGATCAACTTGCTTTGCAGGATGATTTAAACTTGTTAAGTGATTGGTGTAAGCACTGGGCCTTGGAGATTAACTTAAGCAGGAGTGTATTTATGCATGTATCTCATAGTCACGTGCACAATTACTCAATGAATGGCATTACTCTCCCAGTGGTCACTGAGTACAAGGACTTGGGAGTGCTTGTGCAGCATGACTTGAAAACAGCAACTAACTGTAGAGCTGCAGCCACTAAGGGTTTTCGAATATTATGGGCCATACGCAAGGCTTTTGCGAACTTTGACGCTGATATATTTCGTATATTATATCCGACTTATATCAGACCTCATTTGGAATATTGGATCCAGGCAGCAAGCCCGTGTTTCAAATACGAAATAGAATTATTAGAAAGAATGCAAAGAGTAGGAACTAAGCTAATAAAGGGTTTCTCAACCCTCTCATATGAGACGAGGTTAAGTCGACTGGGTTTATTTCCACTGTCATACAGACGACTTAAGGGTGACCTAATACTAGCATGCCTTATCCTAATAAATGATTTTGGAGCTAATTTATCTAATTTATTTCTTCCTTCTAGCACCAACCAATTGCGAGGTTCGTTCAAAAACCATGGTCGAATCGTCTGCGTCTGTAGATCCGTTTTTCGCATCGAATTGTGAACCATTGGAATTCCCTACCGGAACACGTTGTATCAGCGCCATCCGCTGATTCATTCCAGGCGAGATTGGACCTCCTGTTTGTAACAAATTGAAAGGATTAACACAGGCATATAGCCTGCTATCCTAAATAAATTGTAAACTGTAAAATGTAAATTGTATGAAATAAAAACAATCGGCTTGTGAATAATTGTATTGAAACCAAAAGTGGACATCATGATAGTAAGAAATATGTGGGTAGCATTATGAATTGCAAATGAACTTTGTCAGCCTAGGGATTATAGTCTCCCATTGTATTTCCTTTATGAATGCATCTATTGATGATACATTGCACTTACCTATTTCATTACATTCTAATGATTCACCTTAGCACCTTTACTTTTCTAAAACAGCTTACTATCCCTTGTAAACGTTGTACTTACCTCAGTATTGGTTGGTTACCGTATGCCTACAACCACGGGATGAAAACGGAACAAAGTCGATTTTCTCGCGCAACCTGGAGGATTCCTGTTCAATTCCCGTAGTATGTGTAACTAATTGAGGCGCTTTCATTCAGAAAGTGAATTAAGAGTTACGTATAGTGTGTGCCTCCCGGTGGGTGATTATATGGCATCTCTCTTTTTTGAAGTGGTGCCACCTCTCTCCAGTGGGTTATTGGTTGTTTCAATAAGTAGGCCAGAATAAACCAACATGATTTCGACAGAATTCAGTGATATGCGTTTGACTTTTGAACAGACTGCCTCCTTCAACCTATTACGTCACAGACAGGATAAGCAACGTTTCCTGACTAGTGCAGTAAATGAAATGCAGTTCAAGAATACAGTGCCACCGATAACGAAGAATTTCGTTTTAAAAGCATACAAAATATGTAGCTCAGTGAACCACCGCAGCAACGGGCTTCAGCGCTGCACTTAGCGGGGATATTCAATAAAGCCACTACATCCTGACACTATTCAGCGATTGAAACGAGAGTTGTGCGAATGGGTTAGGCTATGGATAACGCTCGTGGATTACACGGTCAGTTTACTTTTACTGATGAATCTTATAAAGCCCAGTGTTTCACCATATAAACGCATTCGACCTAACTGCTCAACATTCTTTTATCTTTAAATTTTGATATTCCCTCCATCTGGTCTTCGTGGTTGTCTAAGTCAAGACAGAGGATTGCTATGGCACCTATATGTGCTTTCATTTATGACAGGCTGTAGGTGGCAGGTCTATCCTTGAAAATTTCACGCAGCATTTGGAGGGCAAAACGGGATCTGCGTGAAATTATACTAAAAAGCAGTAATGTGGTGAGAACTGTCTGCAAACTAAAATTATAGGCAACAGTCTACGTCAATGTTTACGTCCCGAATCAGGGTCATGAGAAAAAACTAAGCTTAACCTTGAGAAAAACACAACAGACTTAACGTCTACATATACGATTCGCAGATATATGGCTTAACTTACAAAGAAATAGTCACAAGCAGTACAGAATAACCTTCAGCAATAAAACAACCAATCAGAAGACGTTGCTTCTCCGATAACAATAACGCTTATAATAATGCACACAAAAATGTATAAATACCCCTTGATTTTCTCAATAAACGATCTGTTTCCTGGCCCTTCACTTCTGTCGTTAAGGTAATTATGGTTGCAGGAAGGTTTCCAGACACAAATGCCACACATTAACCAGGTTACTCCAAGCGAACATAGTGGCATTTCAGAAACATTGCAGAGGTTGCGAACATGAGAAACATAACACATTTTTAGAACACTCTATGAAGGTGTACAGCAGATTCCAAAACTTTTTCATCTTCAGGCCATCCTCGTGGTTTAAGTGTTTTTATAACTCTGAAACGTTAAAAAATATTTACATACATTCTTCTGTTCTTCTTAAAATAATTCGATATGGTGCCAGATATTGAATATTCAACCAATGACAGTTTTGAAATCTCATTTGCATGCATTTTTTCGCGTGAACTTTTCGAATTTGCTGCACTTGTTTTCGTGCTGTCACACGCGATGGGTTTGTTTAATAAGAAGAAAAAAGATGCCGATCAAGACCAGTCAGTAACACTAAAAAAAGAAGTTTCTGTAATACAAGGCGTCAGCATTGTTGTTGGAGTGATAATTGGTTCTGGAATTTTCGTATCACCAGTTGGAGTTTTAACATATACTAAGTCTGTCGGATTGTCTTTCATTTTGTGGTCTGTGACAGGGTTATTCAGTGCTCTTGGTGAGTTTATGTTTCAGAAATTCATTTCTACACAGGCGCAATTGTGTACGCCGAGTTGGGAGTCACGATTCCTCGATCTGGTGGAGAATATATTTACATCCTCCAGACATTTGGACCCTTGCCCGCCTTTCTTGCTTTTTGGATCACATTTGTAGTGATTGGATCTGCCAGCTGTGCTGCTAATGGACTTATTTTTGCAGACTATATTCTCCGGCCAATATACCTTAGTTGCACTACTCCCACTTTTGTTGTTCGACTTGTTGGAGTTCTTGGGATTCGTGAGTTTTTCATTTATAATGTTACTGTTATAAAGTAACACTTTGTTTCATACACTGCTTTAGTGTTAAATGGGCAACGAAAATTGCAGTCGTCTTCACTACTTGCAAAGTAGCAGCTCTATTGCTTATTATTGGGTTTGGCTGCTACTACTTAGCTATAGGTAAGGTCACAATGGTTTGACACTGTTTTGGAATAAAGAACAGCTTCACCACTTGACTGGTACCTCTTTATTTTGATTAGGTAACACGGAGAGTTTTAAGGATTCGTTCGAAGATAGTGAAACGTCACCAGGAGCGCTTGCACTGGCATTTTATCAAGGATTTTGGGCTTTTGCTGGTTGGTAAGTCAATGTTGCTTTGTCGTATGTTCCAGCTGAACACAGTTTCAGAAGTTGCTTGTTTATCGTTATTAGGAACATGTTGTAACTACTATGTGGTATAGTGAACGTATAGGTTGTGTGAATAGTAATATTACCTTCTTCTGTACTAGCGGTAGGAGAATTTCGTTCGACTGTTTTCGGAACTGCAGTCTGACTTAATTTGTACTGTACGTGTTTAAACAATACCTGAGGTCTATTGGAATTTTAGTAAGGTGAATGTCTTTGAATATGTGTGACATTCAGTTCAAATCTCCATTTCAAAATTTCTGTAGTATTTTTAAGTGTGTAGCGGTAAATAATTCCCCAAAATTATTAACCACAGCAATCATCACTCAACATTGGATGCTGACCATCACTGTTTAAGTCGACTTGTTTAGCTGAAGGCTTACGGTCAAGCATCCCCGCCATTTGGTGCTCCGTCGTGTCACGTGCGTGCACGATTACTAGCTAGCTAAGCATTCATTCCTACCCGCGATTTGGTCCCAAAATATATATCGTATTTGGACGACAAAATCTGGTCTTTTGCTTTACCATTTGGTACTCGAAGAACGAACACTATAGTGGTTGTTGGTATAAGATCTTGCGTTAGTATAATCCGTACAACTCGCGAACGTCGATACCTGCAATCACCTAAAAGTGTTTTGGAAATAGTCATGGTTCTGCATTTTCAAATAGTACAGTTTTGACATATCATTTTAAGATGTGCGTCTGCACATATAAAAGCTATGTGGAGTAATCAGTTCTGAACTTGATACTGTGAGAGTTTTGACGTTTAGCCCTTTTTTTAACAATGATGCAAAGAATAAAATACTGTTATATATTTGTGTGTAAAATAACTTGCATAAGTTCAGTAGCTATGCTTTTGCATAAAATAAACAGCTATTCTGTTCTTGTAGTCACTAATGTACTATTACATTCATCAATATTGTTATTAACGTAACTTTATATCCAGAAGTTATTCCACTGAAAAGTACTTTTACAAGTAGTAAATACGTTGCAATGTGAAATGCTGAAAATACGATAATTTGTCAAAAATACTGTTATTATACTATCATCACTCTATCTGCTGAGTTATTCTTCTGCATGATATTTTGAATTTCAGCTAACCTGTGGCGGATCTTAGACTTAGCTAGCTTAATATACCGGATTCGAATAGATATGGAAAATACAAAATCCGTAAAGTTACTGGAGGAATATATTAAAATTTGTTACTTGGGTTATTACAAGGTCCAAGATCCACAATTAACTTAACAGACTCATGAAGTATTGTAAGAAGATTGCTCCAATCCTTATTCTCCAATGTCGATATTGCCAGAGGTCGACCAAGATAACGTAGGGAGGAATTTCGGCGTTCCTGCGAAATTTTGCAATAGAAGATAAGTAATTAGAATTGGACGATGGCAATTGAGATGGTGGAGAAGACGGAGAGTTGTAGGCAGAACTATATTTTCATTCAAACCACGAGGTTAAGTTCAAAGTACAGAGATTCTAGTTAAAACAAAGTAATGTACAATATGTTCATTCCTCACATAGTAGTAAAAGTTAGATAAGTTTATTTTTGAGGACTCTACAAACCTATACTAACGCGCTGATGTAAATATTCATACGTTTATCAGTCCACTTGAGTTTCTCAGCATAAAACTGGAAGTTTATTTGTATTAAAGTGTATACACTTGGTGGTGGCATGCAAACAAGCAGAAATCATCTAATTCATTAACATGACCCCCTTCAGAACACTTTTAAACGGTTATTAAGTTTTCGTATATTGAAAAGTTAAAGACTTCCATTTTCCGATTGTTGATTACTTCCCATCTTATATCTGGATAAACAGTTTTAGAATTGTCTATGTGTGTGTGCCAGTTGACGAATTCACTGAGAGAATCAAGAACAAAAGATATAATATGCATTGATGGTTCAGCAGACTCCTGTGTATTAATGAAGGCTTAATTAATGGTAATTAATAATATACAAATGAAAAATCAAAATCATTTATGGACAGTGACTATAATCAAAAAGGTTAGATATTCTAAATACTTTATACTTTCTGGGGAATTACCTACCGCCACACACTCCTCTAAACACAAAGATACTCAGTTTCTCTAGTATCTTCCTTCAAGAAATTAAATGTTTTGTGGATGTCACATTTAGTGTTTTGTAATGTAGAGTTGTTGTTTATGATTACCTTGTACTTTGAATCCATAAAATGTGAACACATATGAGTTTGTCATATGAATTGTATAAAAACTATGGTGCTTTCTTAAGTTCTGAAACTAACTGGTCCCTTCTGATGCACGTCTAACCATTTTAACATTTAGTTAATTCATAAGACTTATAACAGACTGTTAAAATAGCCTATGTTGGGCTTATCTCAGATGAATCGTCATATAGCCCTGTTTCACTTTTATTAAGTTTCATAAACAGAAACAACTAACCAACTTTAAACTCGAGCTTCCATGTTTTTGGTTTCAGGAATTATCTCAATTTCCTAACTGGGGAAGTAAAAAATCCTGCAAGGTAATTTTTGCTCATTTTATCCTTTGTGTGTTTTGTAAGCCTGAATACTTAATCAGAGAACATGCGTATGTACCACTGAATGGGGATAGAAACCAGGACAGCTTGTCCAATGTATAGATTTGATGGATATCAGGCTTTATTTTATGTTTCAGTGGTTAGTTAATAAATCTGGTTGTTTCAAACTCTCCTTTAGTGTAATTTCTATTAGCCCAGATACTTCTTAGGGTGTATCACTGACCGTTTACCCTTAGCTATTATTAGATACGCATGTAACATCTTTTTTTTCCTTCACGTTCCCAGTGGAACATAGGGCTTCAAGCTAGTGGCTTGAAGTTTCGGTAGCAGTGTTTATTTTACACGATGGGGTTGCCAGCCTCATGCCCAACCTTTCCTCTTCACCAGCATTATTTCTCGCTTAGCCAGGTAAAGGAGTGCGTCGGCCGGGGATCGAACCCCGGACCATGTGCATGGTTGGCGAGCGTCCTAACCGCTATGCTACCGAGCACCATGTAACACCTAATTTGTAATTATTTATAATATACTCGGGTGAACATTTACCTACAACTTATGAAAATAAAATTAGTGTTGTTATGCAACAGCCACTATAAAACATGGTTGAAATTACCCAAACCAGTTAGTGTTTTGGTTAAATAGGAATAAACAGTTTTAAAAAAGCTCTATTTGGTTCAGTTTTTTTCTAGTTGCACATTAAATGTAAGTGAGTATTGTCTCCAGTCTCCCGTATGTTTAAACTCCTAATTCATTTTTAACTAGAACGTGTTGCTTGAGGCTATGCAGACTATGGTGAAAGTATATTTTGAAATCCTGAACACTAAGGCAAAATAATAGTCGTATTAGGTGTCTTAGTAACGGCGCACAAACATGTCTAAATAGGCATTCGAAGTTGTGCCACCTTCTTGCAATATGTCTGTGAAAATATATACCAGATAACCTTACTTAGAACTGTTTTAAGTTTCGAGCCTGTAATGATAATTTGTAAATACACTGTCATGTATATATCAAATGTTTCCATGTGAGAAAGAATCTTTGTTTTCACTTGCATTTATTAATATCTCTACACTTTAAAGCTGAGTAGTATTCTTTGAGGTGAAATGGAGTAGAAAGTTAATGTAGAGGAATATCCTTTGGATACTGTTATATATGTATATCAAAACTAAATTTTGCTGTATAACCAGTTGTAGTGCTCTTGGCTTTGACCTGTACCTATTGTATGTGGTCTGATGACAATACTAGACCGTCCAAACCTCAGTAGTTCAAGTGACCTTTTTTGTATTCCTTTACGTTCCCAGTGGAACATAGAGCTTCAAGCTAGAGGCTTGAAGTTTCGGTAGCAGTGGTGATTATTTTTACGGGACGGGGTTGCCCAACCCTCCCTCTTTACCAGTCTTGTTACTGGCTTAGCAAGGTAAAGGAGTGCGTCTTTGGCCGGAGATCGGACCCTGAACCACCTGCGTGGTCGGCGAGCAATCTACCGCCGTGCCACCGACGCACAGTGACGTCCGAACTCATAATCCATAAGCCACTGATCCGCTATGTATATAATTTTCTGTCATATTGCAACAACAGAAGGCAAAACACGGAAGCCAAGCTATGTTTTTTCATTGATCAAACCGCTGTTTATACATTTACAGTTTATATTCGTTAACCAGTCACTGAGCGTGTGATTTTGGCTTAAGTTAAACGACATGAAATATAATGTTCAAATATACATAGTATTGGAAACTACTTCGCTACTACGGGGTGCCACCGACAATTATACATCACATCCAACAGCTGTACGACAATGCTGCATGCCAAGCAATCCACAAAGGGGAACTCACGGAATCCTTCGAAGTGAGGACAGGAGTAAGACAAGCTGGCAGCCTACTATCGCCAGTGATTTTCCTGATTGCAGTAGATTGGATAATGCGACAAAGAGCGGTGCGCAACGAGGAAACAGGCATAAAATGGACTCACACAAAATACATGGAGGATCTTGACTTCGCCGATGATATTTGTCTGATTTCCCACCAACTGGAAGACATGCAGGCGAAAAGCAACAAGTTGGCAGAAGAATCATCCAGAGAAGATAGGACTTCAGGTGAACATAGAGAAAACAGAGGTGATGAAAATTCCTGGGCGACACCACCAACAGCAACAACAACAACAACTGACAACAATCAGCATAAATGGGAGGAACCTGAAAGAAACAACCTCTTTTACCCACCGACCTGGGAAGCATCGTTTCAACTACAGGCGAACAGAACTGACGAGGATATCAAATGCGAGGATAGGAAAAGCAAGACAAGCTTTCACTACTCTAAAGTCTGTGTGGAGGTCAACAGCATTCAGCATCAGAAATAAGATCCGGATTTTCAACTCCAATGTGAAGTCAGTGCCGCTCACTATACGGATCAGAGACTTGCACTGCGCGTCATAAAGAGCACCTCAAACAAAATACAGACATTCATTAACAGTTGTCTTCGCTCAATACTCAAGATCAGATGGCCAATCAGAAAAGATCAGCAACAGAGATCTCTGGCAATGAGCGAACCAACCCAGCAGGAACCGATTGTGAAACAAATAGGCAGGAAGAAATGGAGATGGATTGGCCATTCTCTGAGGAAACCATCAAGTGACATCACTAGATAAGCCATTGCTCGAGTGGAACCCGAAAGGGAAGCGGCGAGTTGGTCATCAGTGGAAGGGTGACTTGGAGGAGGTCATGTGAAGAGGAAATGAAAGCGTGTGGGCAGACATGGAGCCAGGTGAAGACTCTATCAGAGAACCGGACGCAATGGAGACACACAGCTGAAGCCCTATGTTCCTCTAGGAATTAAAGGATACAATAATAATAATAATAATAATATAATAATATACATAGTATCCTGTTGCTAACACAGTATTGAACTGTGTGAAAAGTGTTCTGCCTCTAACATCCAATAGAATGTTCAAATAGATATATCGTATTCTGTAGCTAATGCTGTATCGAGCTGTTGGAATATGTGAGAATAATATTCCGTTGGAACACACTGTCTGTATCACACCATCACAATATGTCACTATCATTCATGCCAAACTAGGCAGTGAGTTCAAATCCATAGTCACTAGTTTGTGATATACTTACTTCACTTTACTTCGGCTATCTCCTACGGAGGATGAGCCGGCTTCATGAAAGTTCATGAAGTTTCATGGGAATTTGGTACGAGTGATGTCCCCAGAATCGCTCGGCCTTTTGTTTGAGAGTGCAACTCTAGCCTTTACACAACCAAGTGTGACCTACAAGGCAGTAGGAGTGGAGTAGGGAGTCCATTATCCATTGGCAGCCGGTGACCGGAGTTCGGTTCATACGCCTTTTTGAATGGGGCCAGACATCCAGGACATCCATCAAGCCCTTTGTCCATACGTCTGCCGATGAGCTCCAGTGGGCTTCATACGTCAGTCGTCGGAGGTTTGGAATCAGGGTTTAGCCGTCTCCCCTAGACTGTCATCCAATGGACAGTCAACCCGGTGAAGAGCGCCGGGCATCCGCTTTCGCCTTCTCACTTTGGTGAAAAACACCTCCGCCACGTGAAGGCAGTGAGTAGGACTTCCTCAGGAGAGGCTATGTAAGACGCCCGGTCATATGAGAGCATTTCAAGAGGTGTGCGGAGGAGTGGCCAACCCGCAGCGCAAGGCACCCACCCCCGACCATCCTGAGGCTTTGGATATAGTATCTATACCGGTGAACTTCATTTTCAGTGTACTGATCACTTAATTACTTAACAGTATAAAATAATATATATGTATTTCTTTTATACCCAGGACTCTTCCAATTGTGATTGTCCTTTCTCTTACAATAGTTACACTCATCTACATTTTAACGAATGTAGCCTACCTTGCAGTACTATCACCTACAGAAGTTCTTGCTTCAGGTGAAGGATCTGCTGCTATAGCTGTGGTGAGTTGTCATAACTGTTCAATTTCATTCCGTGTTGTACTCTACTTTTATAAAAGCTGTTAGTAGCGAAGTGCATTTTCAGACTACTATTATTATTACTGTCTTCACTTTATCGTATTCCCTGTGGTTCTGTTTAGCTGGTCCTACAATTGCTCATCTCCTCTATGGCATATTCGGACGCATGCCCGACTCCTCATTTCCCATTCGGGCTAAACTCGAGTGGTGGCCTGATGCACGATGTCACCCAACGGTCAGTTTCTTCAGCGTGTATCCCATCCATCTCCATTTTCTTCGGAGCAATAGGATCTTGATTGTTGCGTTCCCAAAGTTCCTTGTTTCTAATTCTTTCCGACTATTTGATATATAGCGAAGACATGCTGTTGATAAAAGTCCGCAGGCATGCTGTTGGAAATGCTTTTCGCGACTCACGCGCCAAGTTTCTGATCCACACAGGAGAACTGACTGACCTAATATTCGTGTTGAAAATCTGATTTGTTTTTTCTTTATGTTGAGTGCAGATTTCCACAGTAATTTTAGAGTGATGGAAGTCTGTCATGCCTTTCCAATTTTGACTGGTTTTGACTTCCTCAACCGTGCTGTCATCTGTAGCTGAAACGAAGTTTTTAAAACATCCACAGTTATTTGAAGATAAGCAAAACTTCACTTGACAGTTCGTTTGTTGGATGATATACCAATCTAATAACTCTTTCAGATAGACATGCAGACAAAAGTAGTGTACATAATATCTGAGTGACTTCACTATGATTGAAACAGGCACTTAGGCGCCTGCCCTACAGGAGAGCAGATAACACGTAACACAATGTGAAGAGATATTATTGGTTAAAAATCCTCCTAAGCCACTTAGAACATTGTTTAACAATCTTAAAAATCAACATCTGACTGCTGGTGCTACAAATGTACATTACAAAACCACTCAATCTTGAAAGGTGGCTGTATATCTCTCGAAAGCTTTCGACAGGACTCCCATTAGTGCCAATGAATAACTTGTCAGGCATGTTAACTACTAGAAAAACATGAGGTCCTGTGTAAGTATCTTTTCGTGAGAAGCTGTCTGTCTATTTTCAACATAGAATTTTGCACCGATGTGCAGCAGTTCAAGTCGCCACACTCCACTCCTTGTAGCACACAAAGCAAGAGAATAAAGTAGAAGAAATGCATAATAGAGACAGTAGGCAGGGATGTGAGACAAAAGGAATAATAATAACGAAGAACAATACAGTTTCATTGGAAATTATAAGTCACAGGGAGTGGATGCATCTCCGCCAGCCCTTGAGAACGATTTTGAGCCATATCACCAATTGTCTCCAGCCGTCATTGCTTCTTACCATCCCGAGAACCCCAACCAACCATCAAGTCCTCACCTTCCTACTTGGCTTAAACTAACTGTTGTAGATTTCATTGACTGATGAAGACATGTTTTGGTTTGACCACCACTGGCTCTTTTCCAACCTGATCCATCCTATGTCAGCTAATATAGCCCGTTGACGAGGAAGGCAATCGACAGCTGGGTATGCATGCGTAACACATGTTCCAACTATCTCAGTCGATGTAGCTTTACAGCCTTGTCGATTGATTTCCCCTTCTGACCTAGCACTCGACCGAAGCCTTACCTCAATATTGCTCACCCTAATATACTACTTCACACGAGAAATAGAACGCAGATACCTTTGATCAAAGACAGCTAGCCAGATTTTTCATGTCTTCCACTCTCAATTGCCAGGTCTCAGAGTCATAAAGGAGGACGAAGCGGACTGTCCAGCATTACACCCACCCTTTGGTTGACAGCGAGCCGGATATCACGTCTACTAATCCAGAGACGGCGTAAACTGGCATATACGAAACTAGCCTTCCGTATCCGTGCTGAGATTTCGTCAGCGATCAACTCGTTGGCGTTGGCTGATGCAACTTCCCAAATAATTGAAGTGGTGGTCAACACGCTCTACCACTTCACTTCCTATTTCTAATCTAGGGGTCGGTGTAGTCCAGTCTTGTAGCACCATCTTACATTTGGCGGGAGCGAATCATATGCCAAACATTCGAAGACAGCTGCCCCTCTGCATTTTGTCAGAGTCTTCACCTAGAAGGACTATATCATCTGCATATTCTAAGTCAACGAGATTATTCCCTGACGGTAACAAGTCAATCCTTGAGTCTCTGAAGTCAGCAGTTAGGGTTAAGTCCATTAGTACATCTATGATAAAATTGAATAGAAATGGGAATAGTGGGCATCCCTGACAGACGCCACTAGTTATCACCACTTCAGATGACAACTCGCCGTAAGCTCGTGAGAAGCTAAACACTTTCGTTTTCTGCAAGATTGAGTTTTTAATATTGTATCCAGATAAAACATCTATTCGTTTTCAGTCGAAATTCAATTGTTTCTTTAATTATAAACTTAACAGAATTTCGCAACAAGATGTATGGGCTCCTTTGGTTTGGTAATGCCGGCTCTCGTAGGCGCCTCTGTATTCGGAAGTATAAACGGTGAGGTATTTTCCATTTCTCGGTAAGTTATTCGTGATAACTTTTTTGTTTTGAAACAATTAGTTCCCTTTATGAATTTAGATAAAGCAATAAGAAGACGTAATTTGTATGAATCGTGTAATGTATTTGCGCAACACATTTCGAACAATCTGATCACACACGGACTTGTCATAGGAATATATATGAAATTAATAAAGAGGTAAGAGGTGAGAAAATAGACTTAGGTCAAGTTAAAAGGACATATTGAAGGTCAAAATAGCAATGAAGACCACTAAACCAAATCAAATAGCAGAGGTAATAGTACATCTGCTATGGTATCAAAGCAAAGTTTCCCAAGGAAGGTTTAGTGTGATGACGGATTGTTTTTCAACACATAAAGGTGGTTTAAACTTTCTAATTGCTAGGGCTTTCACAAACTTTAGGATACACCCCAAACACGTTCTATAGATAGGTTTTAAAGACGTGTAAACATCAATTTCATGTCCTGTTTCCTCTGTGATATGTTTGGCAATAGAGGAGTTAGGTCTCCTGTTCTCACCATTAATGGGTTCTGAAGATTCTATTTGCTTCTGAAGCCATTTAGGAATATGCTCTGAATCGAGCGCTTACTTGCAGAGATCGAAGAGTCCTCCCTATGTATGTGTGTCCGCACGTACATTCAAATTGGTAAATACAGTGGGATGTGACATCATTTTTCGAATGTTCAGAGGGCTTAGATGGATGGATATATTGGCTTCACATTCTCGATTATTATGATATTAGCTGCATAAAAATTCGTCTTTTTAAAAGCTGCGTTCAGTCCTTGTCTAGTTATCAAGCTGCTATGATGCTCCAAATTGGGTAGCTTGATGTAGACGTCTTTCTTAGGGGTGAGTTGGAGAGTGGGTCTTGGTGTTCTGACTACTTTTTTGTTTTGCGTTCCACCTGAAAGAAAATACAGAATGCAAAGGTTTGGGCACATAGTTATTCTGTTAGCATTTTACTAGTCATACAAGTCAGAAATTGAATCCATACCTATGGAACCTAATTACTACTAAAGATGTCACAGCTTTTTGTTTAACTCAACTTGTTTACAGCATAACACACTCGTGACCATTAGACCTTCATCAGCAATTAGAACTAGACAGCTATACTGTTTTTTATTGTTTTTTTAAATTTTCACGTTTGCCGCTTGATTCATGTGAGTATAACTCATTTGGATGTTAGACGTTAAACTATTTAAGTTTGGATCTCATTTCTATGTAAATTCCATCTTTAGTAACTAATATCATAAAGTCAATTCTGAATATGCAAACATGAAAGTTTCACTTTACAATATAATAAAATCAAAACCATATATTATGTGACGCACCGGTGCTTCGGTGGCACAGCGGTAGAATGCTCGCCGACCACGCCTCATGTGGTCCTGGGTTCGATTCCCGGTCGCCGACTCACTCCCTTACCTCGCTAAGCCAGTAATAAGACTGGTAAAGAGAGAAGATTGGGCATGAGGCTAGCAACCCCATCCTGTAAAAATAAACACCACTGCTACCGAAACTTCAAGCCTCTAGCTTGAAGCTCTATGTTCCACTGGGAACGTAAAGGAATAAAATATGTGGCACATCGAAAGTTGTTTTTGGATTAGGTATAACAACTAAGGCATCTTACGTCTTAATCACGTGCATATCAATTTGAGTCGTTTCATTTGAAAAAATTGTCATCCATAAGGTTATATCATTATGTGAACAGAATTCAACTAAAATTGAACGAGAGTCAGGGCTAACGACGGTGGTAACAAGGAAAAAAAATGTAATAGAGGGTAAGGGAAGGTTACATTCTTGCGTGTTAAGACAGATCAGTTCCATTGTAGATGTTGTGACACTGAACGAACTTCTTCTTTATGCAGAGTTCGGGATTTAACGTGTGGATTGCCATCGATTCTACGGTTTGAAGAAGTTTGATGTATACTCTTCTAGCAAGATTCCCTCGTATTCTGTAATTAACTTTAAACTTCCTCTATGGGTTAGCCTGGTGTTTAGATCCAATCAAGTGTCCCAGGAGCCTTTTTTTCCTTTATAAAGCCATGAAGGTAAATGTTCGATAGCAAACGCTGGGTACTACCGACATCCCTAGCTGCACACGAGCAGGTGAATTGATAGATACACGCTGATGAGGTCAGCAGTGGTAGCTTATGCTTCACGTTCATGTGAATGATTAGTGTTGTGGAGAAAGTTAATCGAAGTTCAGCCTCGAGGAAAGTTTTTTCAGTTAGGCGGTTTCTCAGCATTTCTGCCGATGTGTCTCCTCTGAATTGTAGCTTCAGGAAGAGAATTACTTTTGGAGCAGAAATTGTGGGTGGTTTTAGTGGTTTAGGCTTCATGGATTTTGTAATGAAATATTTGGGATAACCTTGTTGAACCTGGAATTACACCTTGTAATAACCTGGGAGTTTTCCTGTATAAGTTCTAGGAAATTCAAGTTTAAATACTAGTCATAAATATACGCCGTCTAAGTGTAAAGTTCTGTTGCAACACTGAATGAAGCCTGTACCTGCACTCATCCTTGCAGGTGAACTGCTTGAAGTTATCGACAAGTTCGTATATCTAGCTAGCTGTTTGAGTTCTGGCGGAGGTGTGACGGACGAGTTTTCTAACTGCACAGTAAAGGCTAGGATGGCTGGCAAACGACAATTTGAGTCACCTCTGGGGCTGTCGAGACGTCAGCTTGACTTCCAGAAGTGGGGTTTACATTATTTCGGTGAGTTCATTCTTGCTCTACGCCTGCCAAACCTGGCCTTTCTGAGCTGAGGAGGTGACTTTGCAGATTCGATCATTTCTGTCTCCGCAGAATTGTCTATGTTCGACAGCATAATCGTGTTAGTAATTCTGAGGTCCGGTGGTATGTGTTTGGGTATAGCAGAGATTACCATTCACTGGATGTCGTCACTGGAAACACCGGCTTCAGTAACTTGCCACGAATGTCATCTCAGAGGCTTCCGTACCGGTCTATGTTCACCAGTTGTGGGACTGGATGGAAAAAGCTGAGAGGTGGCCAGCCTATTGCATGGCGTCGTAAGATGAAGGATATTTTGTATTAGATTAGCATCATTTAACACATCAGGACTCTTTGGTTGGGGTCCGAAAGATAGTTCAAATCGGTGTCCCGAAAGTTTATCAGATATGGCTAAGAAGCTCAATCAACAGTGGCGAAGATGCTTCAATTTCTTTCTTTTTCCTCTTCCTGAAAGTACCGTAAATTCATGAATGTTGAATGATCTTGATAAATATACTTTCTTGCTTTCTCGATAACATCCCACAGCTATTCTCTGCTTATTTCCTTTATATTATTGTTGTATGGTGCATCTCTCGGTGCCCAATTTTATGTTTTTAAACAAATACATAATCATAAATATCCTTAATTTTAGATTGGCATTTACTGCTGGAGAGGAAGGACATATGCCTGCCCTACTTTCAATGGTTAACATTGAACGTCTAACTCCAATTCCCTCAGTGTTATCTGTGGTAAGTAAGTACACTTTGGAGTGTGTTTCACATACACTTCCCTTTCTTAACACAAGTACTGAGCCTAAACGCTTAGAAATTTATATACAAATAACATTATATACGAGAATTAATTTATATATATATATATAAAGTGGTATTGTGTCACTGAGTGTTCTGCCATCATCTTCATCTTCGAAGTAAGCTCCCTTCTGACTTCTCTTTATCCAGTAAGATATTAGGGTACGCTAATCAACTGGCGGGTGCGTCTCCAACCACTCACATGGTCCGGCGTTCGATCCCCGGCTGCCGACTCACTCCTAAATCTCTTTCTGACCTGGTAGTAAAGACGATAAAGTGGGAAGGTTGGGCATGAATGAGGCTAACAACCCCACCGCATAAAAATAAGATCTCTGCTACCTAAACTTCAAATCTGAAACTGAAAACACTATGTACCACTTGGAACACAAAGTAATAAAGGAATAAAATAATCTACAAAAGGATGGTTACTGAACAAAGAATACTCTTTTCGATAACCCGTTCTTCATCAGGCTCCACAGTTATATATTTACATTATAGTGAATGAATGAATTAGTGTTATGAAGAACATTAATGTCGTTTAAATAACATCGAATCAATAATAATAATAATATCAATGGATTACAGTTCAATGGCATCAACATAAAATAAGCTGGATGTCAGAAAGAACATTAGAAAAGATAATATTATACAAATTCATGAATTTATAGTCTCCACTGAAGGCCGGCCTAGATTACTAGGTCACTAGTATTCTAGCCGGTCCCAAGCCCGGATAAAGAGGGAGGGTTGGGGCGTGGTGCTAGCAACTCCACCCCCAAAACTTAACCAAATTGCTACTAAAACTTCAACGCACAAATATATTCAAAATTCTAAAATTACAAATAGTGACCTTATTTTTCGCTGGAATCGGGGAAGTGAAATGACGCGGGCTGGTGAAAGCCTTCGGGAAGCCAGTCAGCCGATGTGCCTTCTTTCGATGAAAGCGAAAATAAGGATGGGGACGTGGAATGTTCGTACAATGTACGAAGCTGGGAAGGCTGCTCAGGTAGCCGCAGAAATGAGGAGATATAGAATAGAAGTGTTGGGAATCTGCGAGAGCAGATGGAACGGATGTGGAAGGAGCCAACTATCAACTGGAGAGACAATAATCTACTCCGGTCACCCAGAGGACAATCACGAGCACACCGAGGGAGTAGCCATCATGATGTCACCAACAGCGGCTAAAGCTCTCATGCAGTGGGAACCAATCTCCTCCAGGATAATGACAGCCAGGTTCAACTCAAAAGGAAAAAAGGTTACAATCATTCAGTGCTACGCGCCTACAAACGCCTCAGAACATGAGAAGAAGGAGGATTTCTACAGTCAACTACAAACAGTAATGGACAACGTCCCAAAGAGCGATATCAAAATCCTGATGGGCGACATGAATGCGAAACTGGGAGGAGACAATACAGGAAGAGAACTCACCATGGGTCGTGAGGCCCTCGGTGAAATGAACGAAAATGGTGAACTCTTCTCAGACTTCTGCGCCTTCAATGATTTGGTGATTGGTGGCAGTGTGTTCAAACACAGGGATATACACAAGGCAACATGGATTTCACCAGATGGACAAACCAAAAACCAGATAGACTTCATTTCAATCTCAAGGAAGTGGAGACGGAGCCTACTGGACACAAGATCGAGGAGAGGAGCAGATGTGGGTTCAGACCACTATCTGGTACAAGGGACTTTCAAGGTGAAGCTGAAAGCCTCGAGGATACCTGGGGATAGGCCACAATGCAAGTTCAACACTCACAAACTGAAGGACACAATCACACAGGACATTTTCACTGCAACTGTCAGAGCAAAGCAGGAAACACTACGAGGCACCACTGAGGAATCATCCGTGGAAGACCATTGGAACTCTCTGAAGGTAATTTTCAACGAAACGTGCTCAACGGTTTTAGGAAGAAAGAAGAAACAAGACAAGGAATGGCTCTCAACAGACACTTGGAAACTAATAGAGGAGAGGAGAAAAGTGAAAGAGAAAATGATTCAATGCAAAGATGGACAAGAGAAAGAGACGCTGAACTCAACTTACACAGCACTGGACAAAGAAGTGAAGAAGAGTGCCAGGAAGGACAAAAGACAATTCTACGACAACCTGGCTACTGAAGCTGAGAACGCAGCAGGCAAAAGGGACCTGAGGACACTATATCAGATAACCAAGTCTCTATCCGGGAAGAGATCAACACAAGTGAAACCTATAAAAGACAGCCAAGGGAACCCAATTACCAAAGAAGAAAGACAGATTAAACAATGGGCGGACCACTTCAAAGGACTCTTGAACCGACCACCACCTACAACCCGTCCAGTAATACCAACAACAGCACGTACACAACTGCAAGTTGACACCAATCCTCCAACGAAAACTGAAGTCATGAATGCAATAAAGCTTCTGAAAGCTGGAAAAGCAGCTGGACCAGATGGAATACCCCCGGAAGCACTGAAAGCGGACCCAGAGACGACAGCAGATATGCTGACTCCATTATTGCAAAAGATCTGGAAGGAGGGAAAGGTGCCTACTGACTGGAGGAAAGGTTACCTGGTGAAACTACCAAAGAAGGGCGACCTGGGACTCTGCAAGAACTGGCGAGGAATCATGCTCCTGTCGACGCCAAGTAAAATCCTGAGTCGCATCATCCTGGAGAGAATCAAGGACGCACTGGATACAGAACTCCGACCAGAACAAGCTGGATTCAGGAAAGGCAAATCATGTTCTGACCAAATTGCAACTCTACGCATTATCATCGAACAAAGCATGGAATGGCAATCAAATCTCTACCTCAACTTCATAGACTTTGAGAAGGCCTTCGACAGCGTTGACCGCGAAGTAATTTGGAAACTACTCGAGTACTACGGCGTACCGCAAATATTCATCAACCTTATTCAACAACTGTACGACAACGGCACATGTCAAGTGATCCACAACGAAAAACTCAGCGAAGCGTTTGGAGTAAACACAGGAGTCAGACAAGGGTGCTTATTATCACCAATGATATTCCTAATTGTGGTGGACTGGATTATGCGTCAGACAGTGGGAAACGAGAAGACAGGGATATCCTGGACCGACGTGAAGAACCTAGAAGACCTGGATTTTGCGGATGATTTATGTTTGATGTCACACAAAATCGAAGACTTACAAGCGAAAACCGACAAACTGGTCGAAGAAGCAGCCAGAAGACAGGACTCCAGGTGAACATAGACAAGACGGAGGTTATGAAAATAACCAACCAACAACAACAACAGCAGCAACATCCAGTGCCAATCACCATCAACGGGAGGGATTTGAAAGAGGTTACTTCTTTCACTTATCTGGGGAGCATTGTCTCAACCACAGGAGGAACGGACGAGGATGTCAAATCGAGAATCGGGAAGGCGAGAAACACATTCATCAACCTGAAACCAATCTGGAAATCTTCGTCACTCAGCATCAACAACAAAATTCGGATTTTCAATACAAACGTCAAGTCAATTTTGCTTTACGGATCAGAAACTTGGCGGGTCACCAAGAATATTTTCAACAGGTTGCAGACCTTTATCAACAACTGTCTTCGCTCCATACTGAAGATTAGATGGCCAGAAAGAATCACAAACAAGAAGCTATGGGAACAAACGAAACAGGAACCAATCGCTCAACAAATATGCAGGAGAAAGTGGAGATGGATTGGACACTCGCTGAGGAGGCCGTTGAGTGACATCGCGCGTCAAGCCCTCGAGTGGAACCCGAAAGGGAAGCGGCGAGTGGGACGTCCAAGGGTGACATGGAGGAGATCGTGTGAGGAGGAGATGAAACAGTATGGAATAACATGGACGCAAGTGAAAAGTACAGCAGAAGACAGAAGCAAGTGGAGACGTGCAGTTGAAGCCCTATGTTCCACTAGGAACCCAAGGGAACAATAATAATAATAATAACTGAAGGCCGGCCAGGAAAGTAGTAGTGGCTGGCTGAACTTACTGCTTTTGCACACAAAACACTGGTTGTTTCACGCGAATTGCGATAGTCTCTACTGTTTGAAGCATGCGGTGCTTCGATGTTTTTGGCAATTTATTTGGCACCCGGTAGTTGATGATAGAGAAGGATTCTTCAATGCTGGCTGTCTTTGTGGCCGGTTTGAACCAGCTGGTCTAATATACTGGGAGATGTTCTCGAGCGAGCACGAAAAATCGAGTTCCTAGAACAATGGCCGATATAACTTGCTCCACAAGCTCAGTTGAATTAGTAGACACAATTTGAAGTGAGTAGCTGGTCTAGGTACTGCATCTTTCAGTCGGGGAATCCCCATCGGTTGTGTAGGGAATAAGGCGTGTAGTTCGTCAGCATTAAAAGTTCTTTGAACTGATTTTCTTAATTTTCTTGGTAATTATTTCACTTGGTATATCGCACTTGAATTGCAGTCGTATATAAAGAGGCTTCTTGTTTACAGATAGTGAGTAGTCCTTTTCCATTTTCTTTGTCATGTATTTCTTGATAAATTTGTTGGGATAGCTATTTTCAATCAAGGTATCACATACAATGCTCAGTTCATCTTGAATTGCTTCTTCTGAGCTGTTTTTTGAAGGTATAAGTAGATTAAATACTATAACAGTTGCACAGCATCATAAATGTATTCGGCATGTTACTAAGATAATCAGATAATATTGAGACCATTGCTCTTAAATGCTAGTTGAAATAGTCTAGCAACATGTTGAATACCGCTGGTGTCAGGAGCTTTTGTCAGTTGAGTCTCACATACTAGTCGTTTCAGACGATAGCATTATTTGATTGTCTCCATTGGTTCCTTATTATTATTATCCACTTGGGCTTCGAGTGGATTATAAGGGCATCAAGGGAACATTTCCACTTTGTCCTCTACTTTCCAGTCCTCTTCGGCTGGCCACAAAATCACACACAGACTCTCGTTTCCTCCTTAAAAGACCCCCTCATTGTCATCCTCACAGTTTCACCAAACCGTCTCTCCGCACTAGTGTTCCACTCGAGCGATGGCCTGGTGCGAAGTGTTTATTGTGTATTTCTTAGTAATTCGGGGTCTTCCAGTTCTCCTTAAGAGTCATCAGTTTCCTCATTTCAGAGTGTAGGAGAAATAACAATATGTGGAAAATAGTGAATAATCTCGGGTAATTGAAAGGATTGACAACTCATTGGTCTAGCGACAAACGATCATCTGGAGATAAATTACAGGAAACAAGATAACAGAGTTTAGCAATGGGTTACAAAATAATAAAAAAACAAAAGGATTACGTGTAACATGATGCTTCAGGCCTGGTCTGCACTTACATCTAGCTTAAACATTGAGAAGTCATTGCTTCTTACCATACCGAGGACCCTAATCAGCTTAGCAGTCTACACCTCTCTACATGGCTGGCCAAAACTGACTATCAAGGATTCCATGGACTGATTACAAGTTTTGGCCTTACCACCACTAGCTCTTTTCCAACCTGATCCATCCTATGTCAGCGGTTAACATTACTCATCGAGGAAGGCGATGGCTACACAGGCGTAACATATGTCCTCCCCAGTTCCACTGATGTAGCTTCACAACCTCATCGATTGATTTCCCCTCCTTACTTAACAATCGACGCCTAACCTCAATACCACTCACTCTACTATACCACCTGCTATGGGAGATAGAACGCAGGCACCTGTGATCAAACACTTCTAATGACTATGGTAAATGCCAAACGAGCCTACTTTATCCGTGCTAAGATTTCGTCAGTGATCAACCCACTGGTGTCAGCTGATGATGCAACTCCATAAATAGGTGAATTAGTGGTCACCACGCTCTACCACTTCGCACTCCCTATCTTTAAGCTAGAAGTCAATTTAGTTCAGTCCTATGGCATCATTTTGCATTTGACACGAGCGGAGGAATCGCATGCCAAACATTCGAAGATTGCTGCTGCTCAAGGTGTTCAGAAAACTCTGCCTTAACCTAGAAGGGAGGACTATATTATCCGCAAATTCGAAGTTAACAGGGAAATTAATTACCTTGAAATTAATTTGATTATCAATACAAAACTATTAAGAACAAACTGTAACCCAGTACTTGCCAGTGGGAATAAAATTTATTATATGAAGGCTGATGATGAAACTACTTATCTAGTTGGAGTGATTCATTAATGGAAATATTGATATGAATATAAATTGAATAAAAAATCAAATTATACTGCTGCAAAATGAATTTTTTTGTTACTTATCGTGTACATATCCATTTTTTTTCTCTATCTCCCCGTTTCTTGTAGGTGATTTTAGCTATAATTTTCCAAATGTTCGATGATATATTCTATTTAATCGAATTAACAGGATTTGCTTTTGCTGTCATTTCTGCAATGGCTGTTGGTAGTTTACTACACATTCGTCGAACACATCCTGAAATGAATACATCTGGATTTCGGGTAGGTTACATTTTTCTGCCAACGTACTCCAGATTATTATTATTATTATATTGTTTCCTTTAGTTCCTAGAGGAACATAGGGCTTCAGCCCCACGTCTCCATTGCGTTCGGTTCTCTGCCAACGTTTTCATCACCTGGCTCCACGTCTGCCCACATGCTTTCATCTCCTTTCCGCATAGCCTCCTCCATGTCACCCCACCCTTTCCATTCGAGTTCCACTCGAGCGATGGTCTGGCGTGTGATGTCACTCACTTGATGGTTTGTTTTCTCAGAGTATGGCCAATCCACCTAACTCCATTTCTTCCTGCTTATTTGTTGCACAGTCGGTTCTTGATTAGTTCGTTCAATGCCAGAGATCCCTGTTACTGATGTTTTCTGGCTGGCCATCTGATCTTGAGTAGTATTGAGCGAAGGCAGCTATTGATGAAGGTATGTAGTTTGTTTGAAGTGCCCTTCGTGACGCGGTGCGGCGCCAAGTCTCTGATCCGTGTAGTGTAGCACTGACTTCAAATTGGAGTTGAAAATCCGGATCTTGTTTTTCATGATGAGTGTTGCTGACTTGAGAGTCATGAAAGCTTGCCTTGCTTTCTCGATCCTCGCTGCTTTGATATCCTCGTCAGTTCCGTCCGCCTGTAGTTGAGACGATGCTTCCCAGGTAGGTAGGTAGGTAGGTAGGTAAAGGAGGTTGCTTCTTTCAGATTTCTCCCATTTATGCTGATTGTTGTCTGTTGTTGTTGTTGTTGCTGTTGGCCAGGAATCTTCATCACCTACCTCTGTCTTCTCTATGTTCACCCGAAGTAAGTCCTATCTTCTGTGGATGCTTCTTCTGCCAACTTGTTGCTTTTTACTTGCATATCTTCCAGTTTGTGGGAAATCAGACATATATCATCATCGGCGAAATCCAGATCCTCCGAAGTACTACTACTCCAGAAGTTGATGTTAATTGTCATACTCATCATCGTTACTTCAATATAAAATGAATGTTGATGAATATTTCTAAAACTTCCATTTTATGCAAACTGAACTCCGGACGATCTATATCAATTTGTATATTAGATATATCATACAGTCAGAGAAATAGTATTATTTACTGCATGATAAGATTTCGAACACAATTTATTACTGTTCATAATCATATCAGTTATAACCATACAACTTCGAAACTTGAGTTTTATAGTTTTCTTCATTTCTTCCTATTCGTCGTAGAGGTAGTAAAATTTTCCAGATGTTCGGGTGGACAGGTGTTGAATCATTCCTACTACACGTGTTTTCAGTTGATTAGATAAACAGAACTTCTATTATCAATCTCCCCCTCCATGTTATATTAGATTTTAAAACTGTCATTTTATCCCATCCTATTGTATGGTTGTGTGTGTAATTGCATGTAATAGTGCTATAGCTGAACTATTCTCTATATTTATTATCTTATTAGAGTCAACTAATCTAGATTTTACCAGGTTTTTGTGCTGTTCCTCTAGTCTGATTCTGATCCCATTCTACTACTGTGACCTCTCTACCTATTTGACCTGTCAATCATTCCAGGAGGGTATTAGATAAACCAAATTGTTTTGTTTAATTGGCTCCACAGAATCCTTTAACCGACAAATCTTGTTTCTAGTTACATTTGTAGGTTTGAACACCACTTTTATTCTCTTTCCTGACTTTTCAATTCATAAGTAAATTGATGAATTGTCCCTACCTTAAAGTTGATGTGTTTCAAAAGTCTATTTATGTCCTGTGTCTTAAGTACGATGAATGTATCATCTACATACACCTCCAACATACTTTGGGAGCAGTACTGAACCTTTCAATCGCTAAATTTCTCCACCTATCCATGATGAATATATCTGTCACTATTGGGGGGATATTGGCGATCCCATTTTTGTGTGCGTCGTTGGCACAGTGGTTAGGACGCTCGCCGACCATGCACATGGTCTGGGGTTCGATCCCCGGCCACAGACGCACTCCTTTACCTCGCTAAACCAGTAATAAAGCTGGTAAAGAGGAAAGGTTGGGCATGAGGCTAGCAACCCAATCCTGTAAAAATAACCAACCCTGTGCTACAAAAATTTCAAGCTTCTGGCTTGAAGCCCTATGTTCCACTGGGAATGTGAAGAAATAAAGAGAAAAAAAGAAATCAAGCATAGCTACACTACCACCATTATGTTTTTTAATGGCACTTTTGTTCTAAGTTCAAGTTCATGGTCAGAAGCAAGTTCGTTTTTGACCCTTTCTATAGGCATATTTATCGGTGTACGTGTATATATGAACTGAACTCTGGACAGTAACTCATGTAACTTTACTCCTAAATTTTGATGGAAATCTGTCTTTCAGGTTTATTAGAACAACAACAACAACTAACCCTTACAACTTGCTACAGGATGGAGTTTCCTGGATTTCTAGTGAGAAGTCGTGACCAGTGAGGTCCATCCAGATGTCACGTGTGAGGATGGATGTCCCACCGATGACATTGGTTGGTGCCAGTTGCGCTAAATGCATCACGAATTGGTAGAAGTTAGAATTCATGCACTGGCCATTGAATCGGGTCCCAGTAAGTGGCTGAATTGTATACGAGCCAACTTGCCTAGTAACCGGAAGGTCCTGGGTACAAACCCCTGTTGGTGGGTGCGTACTGGCGATGATTCCCAAACTAGGATGAAACAGCTGGCTGTCCAGTACTCCTTTCTGGTTTTCAATGGTTCTCTAACTGATATCAATCCGTGCGTGATCAACTCGTAAAAGCATAACTAACCCTTACAAACCAAACTATAGAAAACAACAACAACATTTCTTTGCACCGTTGTGCATTGTGATGATTTTCAGACTAAATGTTGTAAGTCGACAAGGCGTATCTGCAACCTGGAGTAGACTCATATTCGTGCAAACATTCAAACTTGTGTGTTATTCATTGAATTTGGAAGCAGTCATAAGAAAAGAACGTTAACAGTGAAGAAGAAAATTTCCTTTTTGCAGCGATTCATTTTCATAAGCTGTTGTACAATCATGGTAATTATATTTAACAAAGAAATCATAAGACCAATCAATCAGATACTGGTGGTAAAATTTGTCCTCGAAAAATGTATTCCGTAATGTAAAGTGTAACCTAGATGGGGTGACTGATTGTAAGTTAGAAAAGAGGCAGAAGTTGGCATGTCTGTCTGTTTTCGACATAGAACTTTGCACATATGTGCGGCAGTTCAAGTCGCCACACTCCATGTAGCACACATAGCAAGAGAAGAAAGTAGAAGAAATGCATAATATAGACAGTAAACAGAGGTGTGAAACAAAGGAATAGTAATAACGGAGAACAAAACAGTTTAATTGGAAATCATAAGTCACAAGGAGTGGATGCATCTGCGCCAGGCCATTGAGAACGATTTTGAGCCATGTCACCAATTGTTTCCAACCATTGGTTTTTACCGTCCCGGGGACCCCAACCAGCCAAGAAGTCTACACCTTCCTACTTGGCTTAGACTAACTGTTGTAGATTTCATTGACTGGTGCCATGTTTTGGTTTGACCGCCGCTAGCTCTTTTCTAGCCTGACTCTATATCAGCTAACATTACCCGTCGAGGAAGGCGATGACTAGGCATACGTAACACACGTCCTAACCATCTCAGTCGATGTAATTTCACAGCCTCGTCGATTGATTTCCTCTCCATACCTAGCACAGAAGTTATTATTATTATTTATTATTGTATCCTTTAATTCCTACAGGAACATAGGGCTTCAGCCGTGCGTCTCCATTGCGTTCTGTTCTCTGCTAGAATCTTCACCTGGCTCCAAGTCTGCCCATACGTTTTCATCTCCTCTTCACATGACCTCCTCCGAGTCACCTTTGGACGACCAACTCGCCGCTTCCCTTTCGGGTTCCACTCAAGGGCTTTTCTAGTGATGTCACTTGATGGTTTCCTAAGAGTATGGCAGCACAGAAGTTGGCATGACGTAATTAGTGTGAGATAACGACTAATCGATAAGATTGTGTAGAATGGACAGGAACTAGTGGAAAGACGATGAAGTGTTTTTATATAAAATCTGTATGAAAACGCAATGTTATTAATAAACAGTAATAGAGTGGTAATAAAATATGGATGATGGGAGTAATAATGATAATAAAATAATAATAATAAGGTTATATAATAAAAGGAGGCAAAATTATAATGAGAACGTTACTCTGGCCACGGTAGGGCGAGAGAATGCGTGTATTGCTTTTGAATGCAGAGGTCCAGTTTTAGATCACGAATAGGCAATGATTCAGCTATGTACAGATGGCGTTTTCCAAGTCCTTTCGTACGATATTGAGGGACTCTGTTTGGCAATGTGAAGCATTTATGCTGGGGTGCTTGATTTCCAGAGTTGATAAGGTGTTCGAGGATGGGGCTACTAGTATTCTTCTTTTCTCCTCTGGCTAGCTAGCCAAGCTGGACCTAACGTTGCATACGGTCGGTATACTTTGCTGTACACCAGCAAGTAAATTGATAAATACACATTGAGGTGGCCAAAAGCGGTATCTTATCCTTAACGTCAGACTGGATAGGTTATCTCCTGAAGAATGTGATACATAAGGTGGCTGCTTGAATTTTCTTCTTCGGACATTTAGGAAGGTAGTTTCTAAGATCTTCTGCTTCGATGTCACCTTTGAGTTCCAGGTTCATGAAGAGAGTTTTCTTAGGAACAGTTGAGATGTTTGGCGATGGAGGTTTTTCTTTCATGTTTTTGTCTATTAATCTTGGTATATACCCGTTCTCTAGTAAGTAGGGTTTCAGGTAATAAATTTAATGCTTTCTCTATCATGTCTTCCGAACAGATTTGTCTAATCCCTGATCTTAATGTACGTACCGAGTTTTGCTTTCGGATCCCTGGGACGAAGCTCTGGAAGTTATTACGTCATGCCAACTTCTGCCTATTTTCAACTTCCAATAAGTCACCTCATCTAGGGTTACACCTTCCTTACATTACGGAATACATTTTTCGAGGACAAATTTTACCACCTGTATCCGATTGATCGTCTTATGATTTCTTTGTTAAATATCGGATATATCTTAGTCATGAATCTCAACAAATGGAGAATTTAATTTGACGCCTCCTTAAGATCGATCGACCCATCTAATGTCTAAGACTTTCGATTACTTCAAAAATTACACAATATATATGCTCTTAAAATGCTGAAAAGTATGTTATCATAATAAGAACAGTGTGATTGTACATCAGGCATTTGTGTAGACACACACATAGATTTGTTTATATCCCAAAAATTATTCACACATAACTGATGTCAGCTGGCGATCGAACATGTTATCAATCAAAGCCCCTACAAACAAACACTCGATAGTTAAATCTGATGCTCACTAGGGACTGGCTCTCCACAGGAGAGCAGTAGTTACCTGGAGTCCTAGTGAGACATCGTAACCAGCGGGGTCCACGATATCTGGTAAGAGGACAATTACTCCATATTAGTTTGTTTATTAGATGTATCACACAGTCACAGAAACAGTATTATATACTGGATGACAAGGTTTCGAACACAATTTATTGCTGTTCATAATCAGATCAATTATAATCACACGACTTCGAAACTTGAGTTTTGTAGTTTTCTTTATCCTCTCTCTCCTATTTGTCGTCATTGGGATAGTAGAATTTCCCAGATCTCCGACTGGATCATTCCTTGAATCATTCTTACCACACGTGTTTGCAGTTGATTCGATAAACAAAGCTTCTGTTATCAGTCTCTCCCTCCCTCCACCCTGTTGCACTAGACATTAAAACCGTCATCTTATCCCATCCATCCTATTGTATGGTTGTGTGTAATTGCATGCAGTGCTATAACTGAACTATTCTCCAGATTTTTTATCTAATTTGGGTCAGCTAGTCGGCTGGTAGAACAGGGGTAGTCAGACTACCCGAGCATAAAAACCTAGCGAAACCTAGATTAGTTGACCCAAATTAGATAAAAAATCTGGAGAATAGTTCAGTTATAGCACTGCATGCAATTACACACAACCATACAATAGGATGGATGGGATAAGATGACGGTTTTAATGTCTAGTGCAACAGGGTGGAGGGAGGGAGAGACTGATAACAGAAGCTTTGTTTATCGAATCAACTGCAAACACGTGTGGTAAGAATGATTCAAGGAATGATCCAGTCGGAGATCTGGGAAATTCTACTATCCCAATGACGACAAATAGGAGAGAGAGGATAAAGAAAACTACAAAACTCAAGTTTCGAAGTCGTGTGATTATAATTGATCTGATTATGAACAGCAATAAATTGTGTTCGAAACCTTGTCATCCAGTAAATAATACTGTTTCTGTGACTGTGTGATACATCTAATAAACAAACTAATATAGAATTACTTACTACCACTATGCCCAAGTTTTACACATATATTAATAGAACAATTACTCACCTATGATATTGGTTAGCGGTTGTGCTGTGCATATATTGCGAATTAGTGACGTTCGGGATTCATTGGCTAGTCATTGGATAAAGTCCCAGTGGCTGGAATGGTCTACGAGATCGCCTGTTAACCGGAATCTCCTGGATTCGAATTCTGGCAGGTGTGGACTACTGAAAAATCCAGAATTAGGACGAAATAACTATCCAATACTTCCAGAATTTCCAGGGGTTCTCTAACTGATGTCACCTTGTTGTGGATTTTGTTACACATAACCTTTAAATACTCCATAGGAAGACGAAGCCATTTGATCTTCTGATGAACGTGGATACAAGTTACGCCTGTCAAAGTTTCTTTCCAAGCTGTTATTGAATTGTTCTATTTGAAAATCGATTCAAGTGGGCAGCATCCTCATTTATTGAAAAATTCAACGAGATGCCTTTGTTTGTTGAATAACTTTTCAAAGATAACGTCGTTATCATTTTTTACTTTCTCTTTTCCAGTTACCTATATGGCTCCCTGTGTTGTATCTGGTTGTCGACATTGCTATTGGAATACTAACAGTATATCAGTCTCCAAAAACCTCTGCTATTAGTTTAGGCGTGATGGCGTTAGGCATACCGGTGTATCTTTTTGGAGTGTCGTGGAAGAACAAGCCAAAATCCATGCAATTGCTAATATGTAAGTTGTGTTTTGATAGTCATGTAATTTATTTTACTTACTTACTTTACTTCGGCTATCTCCTACGGGAGGATGAGCCGGCTTCATGAACATCTCGAATCATCGCTGCCCAGGTGCAGCGATCTGATGCAAGGTTTTGCGACAGGGTTATCCAATTCTTGTTCCACAGACGGAGTCCGTAGACGGTTTGTAGCCCCAGGCACTCCATATCAGCCTTGACTGTACCAAGCCATGTTTTCATCTGTCCACCCCTGCGACATCTCCAAGATGGTAATGGCGAGGGATTTAGAACTGATTTGACCAGATCGTCATCTGGTCGGCGCGTAAGAGAATTCATGAAGTTTCATGGGAATTTGGTACGAGTGATGTCCCCAGAATCGCTCGGCCTTTTGTTTGAGAGTGTAGCTCTAGCCTTTACACAACCAAGTGTGACCTACAAGGCAGTAGGAGTGGAGTAGGGAGTCCACTATCCATTGGCAGCCGGTGATCGGAGTTCGGTTCATACGCCATTTTGAATGGGGCCAGACATCCAGGACATCCAACAAGCCCTTTGTCCATACGTCTGCTGGTGAGCTCCAGTGAGCTTCATACGCCAGTCGTTGGAGGTTTGGAATCAGGGTTTAGCCGTCTCCACTATACTGTCATCCAATGGACAGTCATTAGAAGTGGAAGACGTGAAAAGTCTGGTCAGGTATCATCGATCATAGGTGTCTGCGTTCTATCCCCCATGTTAGGTGAAATTGTGGTGGTGTGATACAGACAATGTATGCCACCAGAATATTATTCTCACAGTTCATTACTGCGTTAACTACAGAATACTATGTATATATGAAGATTCTATTTCATGTCGTTTAATGTAAACCAAAATCACACGCTCAGTGATTGGTTAAAGAATATAAACTGTAGATATATAAACAGCGGTTTGATCAATAAAAAATATAACTTGGCTTCTGTGTTTTGCCTTCTGTTGTTACAATATAATAGGGTGAGTGATATTGAGATTAGGCGTCAAGTGTTCGGCATGGAGGGAAAATCAATAGATGAGGTTGTGAAGTTACACCGATTGAGGCGTCTAGGACATGTGACACACCTGTGTAGCCATCGCCTTTCTCGATGGATCAGGTTGTAAAAGAGCTAGTGGTGGTCAAGCCAAAACTTGTAATCAGTCCATGGAATCCTTGATAGTTAGTTTTGGCTAGCCACGTAGGGGGCTGTAGACTGACTGACTGACCGGTTGGGGGGGGTCTTCGGGATGGCAAGATGCAATGACGGCTGGAGACAACTGGTGATATGCCTCGAAATCATTCGTTGTGAATGGCGAAGATGCATTCAGTCATTGTGATTTGTCATATCCAGCAATACTCTATTTTTCTTCCATATTACTATTCCTTTTCCCTCACTCGCACTTCTGTTTGTTATCGCTTTTTTGAATTTCTCTTTACTCTTTTTCCTTGCTTTGTTGATACACGGAAGGAGAGTGGTGGCTGGAACTGGTGCACATATGTGCGAAGGTCTATGTTGAAACTGTCAGTCAGAGTGAATAATATCTGCCAAAGGTATCCTTTAATCTCAACCTGAGGGCTTAAGGGTTAGTTCACTAAAACAGGTATAAAAGGATATATTTATTATCACTGAAAACTTTTCGAATGATTATTCAACATCAAGATGACTTCAACTCAAACCATTGTACCATTTGGAATGGAAGATTTTTTCTCATGTGTTTTTGGTAATTTAGTCGGTCTATCAATATATGATGGCGTCGGTGGCATAGCGGTTAGGACGCTCGCCGACCATGCACATGGTCCGGGGTTCGATCCCCGGCCACAGATGCACTCCTTTACCTCGCTAAGCCAGAACTAAAGCTGGTGAAAAGGAAAGGTTGGGCATGAGGCTAGCAACCTCATCCTGTAAAATAAACTTCAGGCCACCAGCTTGAAGCCCTGTGTTCCACTGGGGAACGTGAAGGGAAAAAAATCAGTATATGATAGAATCAAAGCCAAATTTAGTATCCTCAAATTTGCCAGTTTGTTCTGTCCTTCGTGTGCCGTGACAAATGTCTCGATTCTCGTGTATCTGAGGAAAAAGATCAAGAAGCTTAACGAAGACAACTGTCTTTTCAGAGATTTCATTCTCAAAAGCAGCTGTACAATCCCATTAATACATATAAGTTTACATAGATACAATTATTCTGACTTAAATCCACATAAAGAGATTAAAGGTGATCATAATTTTCAACCTGATATGAATGTTCGAAGGTGTGAGTGAATATAGATTACAAGGGGTTTAGAATGTAAATGTAGAGGTTGGACTAGTTTCTTTTGAACACATAGCTCCGGTTTATCTACGATATACATGGTGAGGGCTTCTGTAATACAAAGAAGTTCGAAACATATTACTTACTTACTTTACTTTACTTCGGCTATCTCCTACGGGAGGATGAGCCGGCTTCATGAACATCTCGAATCATCACTGCCCAGGCGCGGCGTTTGTAAGACAGTTCATTAAGTTTCATGGGAATTTGGTACGAGTTATGTCCCCAAAATCGCTCGGCCTTTTGTTTGAGAGTGCAGCTCTAGCCTTTACACAACCAAGTGTGACCTACAAGGCAGTAGGAGTGGAGTAGGGAGTCCACTATCCATTGGCAGCCGGTGACCGCAGTTCGGTTCATACGCCTTTTTCAATGGGGCCAGACATCCAGGACATCCAACAAGCCCTTTGTCCATACGTCTGCTGGTGAGCTCCAGTGAGCTTCATACGCCAGTCGTTGGAGGTTTGGAATCAGGGTTTAGCCATCTCCCCTAGACTGTCATCCAATGGACAGTGAACCCGGTGAAGAGCGCCGGGCATCCGCTTTCGCCCTCTCACTTTGGTGAAAAGCACCTCCGCCACGTGAAGGCAGTGAGTAGGACTTCCTCAGGAGAGGCTATGTAAGACACCCGGTCATATGGGAACATTTCAAGAGGTGTGCGGAGGAGTGGCCAACCCGCAGCGCAAGGCACCCACCCCCGACCATCCTGAGGCTTTGGAGGCTTCGAAACATATTGCTTTTGGTAGATTTTTGTTCACTTTGTAAATGACTCTGAATGATGAGTAGTGTGTGCTGACGAGGTGTTCAATCATGCAGCTTCTCACTGAATTAGTGCGTCATCTTTTCAGCCATGCTAGGTTACGTTCTTTAGCACATAGAACGACTTATCCACGTAGCTCCTCACGATTAAGTGGACTGATATATACACACTGAAGTGGCCATATTCGGAAGTTAATTCTTCACACTGCTTAGAAGCAGTGGGCAGCTAGAGAATTTCACTCTTATAGTTGCTGAAAGAAAGGTCTTCCTTTAGGGAATTAGTGATTCTTCTCTTTAGGATATCTACCGCCAAGTTTCTATTCTGAAGTACAGATTCATATATGGTGTTTTCTTTGGTAGTGAAGTGCATTTTCCTCTTTTTGACTTTGGTTTCTTGTTTTTCTTTGTGAAACATGCCGAGTATTCATTTTAAGCCAAGACATTTTTCAGAAATAAGAGCTCTTCTTCTAAGCAATCAATGCTACAAATTCTTCTGAAACTATTTTGCATATAGCGCAACTATTTTCTAATCCTGTGTGCAATTTTGTTTCTAAGCTGTTTGTAATCTATGTTCACTCACACCTTCGAACTTTCACATTAAGTTGAAAATTATTATCACCTTTAATCTCCCTTCGTTATGTAACAACAGAAGACAAAAGTCAGGCAACAGATCGTTTATTGAGAAAATCAACAGATATTTATAGATTTTATGTAATTATTATTAGCGTTATCGTTAGCAGGGAAGCAACGTCTTTTGATTGGTTGTTTTCCTGCTGAAGGTTATTCTGTCATCTCTTTGTTGCCGTTTATTAGACAGTCCGGTGGTATATCTGCGAATCATATCGGCCCACGCTAAGTCTGCTGTGATTGGTTGTTGAGTTCCTCAAGGTTAGACTTTGTTTTTGTTTTCTCTCTGGACCAAGATTTGAGACGTAAACACTAACACTAATTGTTGTCTATACTTTTGTCTTGCAGACAGCTCTCACCACAGTTATTGTGTGTAATGAAATAATAATTGTATCTATGTACAAAAAAATCTCGATTTCGCAGATGATTTATGTTTAATTCACAAAACTCGAAAACTTTCAAAAGAAAACCAAGAAAAAGGCAGAAGAAGCAGGCAGAGAAGACAAGACTCCAGGTGAACATAAAGAAGACGGACGGAGGTGATGAAGATAACCAACTAACAGCAACAAAAACAACAACACCCAGAACCAATCATTATCAACGGGAGACATTTGACAGAAGTTACTTCCTTCACGTATCCAGCCAAGAAGCATCGTATCAACCACAGGCCGGCAGAACGGGTGAAAATGCCGAAGCCAGTCAGCCAGCGAGAATCGGAAAGGCGAGATACGTCTTCGTCAACCTGAAACCAGTTTGGAAATCTTCTGCACTGCACTCCGCCTCAGTATAAAGAACAAGATTCGGATTTTCAACACAAATGTGAAGTCAGTCAGTCATTTCTTCTATATGGGTCAGAAACTTGCACTGTGTGTCTCGAAAAGGATTTCCAACAGGCCAGTGCAGACTTTTGTCAACAGCTGCCTTCCTGGCTCCATATTCAAGGTCAAATGGACAGCCGGCCAGAAAGAATAAGCAACAAGAAACTCTAACTGTGAATAAACCAACAACTGAGAGCCGACCGCTCAACAAATATGTAGAAGAAAGTAGAAATGGATCGAGCATACGTTGAGTAGGCCGTCGAATGACATCGCGTGCAATGCAGGCCAGTGCTCGAGTGGAATCCCAATGGGAAGCAATGATTGGGTGGTCGGTGCGAGGGTGACATGGAAGAGATTGTGTGGGCAGGAGGAGATGAGAGATTGTGGTCAGTCGTGCACCCAGCTGAAGAGGACGGCATAGATTAGAACAAAGTGGAGATGTGTTGTTGAAGCCCTATGTTCCACTTGGAACCCAATGGTTTAATAAT